CGGAGATCAGACTTGGGTTGGACTTGGCTACCTCTATGTCCCTCCCCCTTCTCTCTTGCATGTCTATGGATCTCTCCCCATGTGTGTGAGCGGAAGGGCAATCTTCCTGGTGTCTTGCCCTTCCGAAGTTTCTCCCTTTCATGTTGTTGTCCACGTGTCCTTTGATACTAGATCTTCCGCTGCGCTGCTTCCCAGCCTATGATGATGATGATACGAATGTGTTGTTATTGATTTCCCGTTGTTTCACTCTTTGTGGCGCGCACATTGACACCTTGTGAATGTTGCACCTATGTTGCTGGTTGTTGCCACTTTCGTCATTGCTAGATCCTAGGCTTTCAGTGCATTTCACTTTCTGATATGTTACACCGGGTCTCAACGGGCTCGACGAGCATGACGCGAGGGCTCAACTTCCTGAAAAGGGCGTGAGCAGCGCCGTGCGATTTAATAAATCGCAATAACGCTCGCACGGATGATGGTCTCCTTAACCCACCCCACTCGCGTCCCGACATCTGACAACATCAAGTTGCAGACGTGGGTGGAGCAAGGAAGCCAAGTGATCCTCCTAATGTCCGCGTCAAGGTCTGTGGCGAATCTACGTGTCGTCGCCGTATAGTTACTGGCGGAGTCCGTGCAAAAGCCGATCACATCCTTTGCAGGAAAGGACAGGATGATGGCCCGCCACCTGGGATACGCGATATCCGCCGTATCACGGACAGACCCGTCACGTGCGACGGTGGCGTACAGCAGGGCGCCGTTCGCGCCCCCGGCCAGGAAGTTCACGAGCGGCTTGCCGCTACGTGACTTCCTTCCGTCGGAGAGGATGGTGGCACCGGTGTGCTAGAAAGCGGAGCGCACCTCGCTCACCATCAACGCTACCTTCATCCTCTGCAAATGGATCCCAGCACCGGTTGTAACCCTGTACGAGGGAAACTGAAACCGAACTGTGCGGGGTACTCTCTCCGCCGCCCGGCGAACCCTCTGGAACTCTGGCCCTCGGAAGGCGTTGAATGGCAACCCGTTCGCGTAGATCCACTGCAGCCACGCGTCTGAGAACTCGGCCAACTTCTCCTTGTCGTACATCTCCTCGATCGTCGTCTGTCGTGCCCTTTTCTCCCTCGTCGTGTCCCGCATGTCGACGTCCTCCTCCCCCACTTTCCTCTTCTCCCTCCTCGCGCGGTCCAACTCAGGTCGTGACGCCCTCGCAGCGTGACCCGCTGGCCCAACCCCTCTTGACGTCATCACTACCTCCTCCCCTGGCAGGTCAGGGCCTCCGACTGCGTCGTCTCGCATCCTCGCCTCACCGACCCCACCCTCGCTCCCCTCCTGCTCATCGAGGACGTCCTGAATCTCGTCCCTCTATGCGTCGTCCGTCTGTGGCCGCTGCCCACCCGCAGGCGCTCTTGTGTCCCGTATCCCCTCCTCAGCCATCCACCTCTGCACCCGTCGAGCAGTGCTGTTAACAAACCTGTAGTCGGTGTCGTTCCGGAGATCCGCGAGAACTCTCATCCCCGCAACCTTGCAGTACTTCGACTGCGTGAAATGGCGCGCGGCCTTCGTTGCGTTCCCCTGCCAAACGTGGCTGCAAAAGTTGCAACATAACTTCCGGTCCCCATGCATCTTCGACTGGTCCCCCACAAGTTGGCCCGCGGTGACAAAGTTCCACCCCAACCTCGCCTCAACCTCGCCATTTCCCTTTCAGACTGTGGGATGAACTCCCCACCCCCAGACCCCCCTGCACCGATGCTCCCCGCGCCCCCCGTCATCGTCCCCCAACTCCGCACCCTGACATGCACAACCAACTCTGAGCGTCGAAGTCCTCGGCCCGTCCGTCGATGTCGTCGCTCGATCCACACCATCGATGAAGTCCCCGCCACCCGCTTGAAAAACTGACCCCTGACGGCACCCTCTCGGCCCCCCACCCTGAACAGCTCGTCGGCCCGCCCGAGGGGTCACGGTCGCGGCCTCTCCCGCTGTCACGGCAAGTCCGACCGATCTCGGCCGATGCGGCCGTGTTCGGCCGAGTTCGGCCGAGTTTGGCCGTGGCCGGGCACTAAAATCGCCGCAAGGCGATGGCGTGCGGCGGCCGCGCGGCGAAGACGCCCAAATGGGACCGCACAGCCAGGGCCCTCATGGCGTCACGGAGAGCCCCGTGAAGACGAAGACAACGAAAAAAACTCTCTCTCTCTCTCTCTCTCTCTCTCTCTCTCTCTCTCTCTCTCTCTCTCTCTCTCTCTCTCTCTCTCTCTC